CAAACCCCAGGCCAACGAAGTGGAGCAAATGGAACTTTAACCACTTGGCCACAGGGCCAGCCCCTTAAGAATGAACATTTTTTATCAAACTAGAAATTTAAAACAAAGAAGATCTAGGAGCAAAGGGAGAGGGTGGGCAGCAGAAACAATGCAGGCCCTGAGGTGGTCAGGACAGGGGTCAGAGGCAAGGGACCCTTCTCACTTCAACCTGTGAGGCTGGGCATCTCAGGCTGGATGTGGGAGAAGAAGCTAATCTTTTCTGCTGCCACTGACCTGGACAACGTCCTCAGGCATGAGCTTCTTCTGAAGCCAGGAGGTTCCAGGACTGCATTTCTGTGCAAAACCCTGACATTTTCCTGGCTTGGGCCTTCTGAAGTGCACGACTCCCTAGACACACAGAGAGCTCTGTGTTGTCCCTGGTGCCCCCTTCCCCACTCCACTTTCCACCCTCCCCAAAACAAACTAAACAATAACATCTAAGAAAGAATATTTGCCAAGATCATTTGTGACCCAAATTCCTGCCCTGAGAAAAGCAGCCTGCCTACTTGGAAGCAAATACTCAAGTCCTTCTGGGAAGGCACAGAAACAGCTGGTTGGCTCAGCCTCTCGCTGTGGCCAGGGTCCAGTCTCCAGGGCTGTGTGGAAAGGGCTTTTACCCTTCAGAAACATTTGCATTGCAGTGGCTGGGAACAGACATTTTCTCTCTTCCTCGTAAGCACAGGCCCACATGCTTTCATCCTCCAGGTACGCACACAGCAGACACATAGATGCAAGAGAAGCAAGAACCACCCCCCACACACACATGCATGCATGTAGACATACATGCACTCCTCAAGGCACGCACACAGGCTCAGGTACACACACATAGGCACACACATCCCAACATAGATATACAATAGCACAGACATAGCTCCCCTGACTTACGTACCAGTATGTCTTTTTGACTTCCTGCTTGACATCTACTTCTTGTTTGAGGTCTCCTGAGCATGTAAGTCTAACCATGTCTCAGGCTTGATCTTACCTTCTCTGTAAGTCTGCTTCTCCATCAGCCCTGCCCCAGCTCCAAGATTCACTCACACGTGCATTCTACACATATTTACTGAGTACCTCCTATTTGCCAGATTTTGTGCCAGGTACTAGGGAACAGGAGGAAAAAAAACAGAGTTCTTCATCGTGTGTTTCCAACAATCTGGCAAGGGAAACAGACAATAAACAAAAATGTAATATACGCATCTGGTGATAAGTTTATGGAAGAAAAACAATGCAGATTAAGGGAATGGAGAGTGACAGAGGGTTCTCTTTTAAATCAGTCTATCAGAGAAGGGCCCTGAGGAGGTGACATTTGAACAGAGTCCTGAATGAAGGGAGGGAACTGGCCATGAGGGTATCTTGACGAAGGGTGTTCTGGCAGAGGGGACAGCACATACAAAGTCCCTGAGGCAATAGTGTGGTTGGCACATTCAGGAAACAGCCCGGAGGCCAGAGTGGCTGGGGTGGAGCCAGCAGTGGGAGGGCAGTAGGAGATGAGGGCAGACAGAGCCGGGGCGATTCTCTGGGGTCTGGTAAGAAATTTGGATTTGGTTTCAGATGCGATGGGAAGCCAATGGAGGGTTTTGAGTGGGAGACGGGGAGACATGATCAGATTTGCTAAAGAAACACTGGCTGCTGCGTGAAAAACAAGGGCAAGAGTGGAAGGGAGAAGCCAAGTAGGAGGCAGCTACAGTGGTACACCAAGGGGATGGCGGTAGCTGGGACTATGGAGACGGCAATGGAGAGAGCGAGAACTGATCGGATTTAGGACATTTTTTTGAAAGTGGAGCCAACAAGATTTGCACATGGATTGGCTGTGGAATCAAAGAGACTCCTAAGTTTTGGGCCTGAGCAACTGACAGAATAGGCAAATAGCAGTGCCGTTTTTCAAGATGGTGAACAGAGGGCAAGAGCAGGTTTGTAGGAGAGATCACAGGAGTTCAGTCCTGGCACTAGTAAGTTTGAGGGACCGATCAGACATCCAAAAGGACACATTAGGGAGTCGGTCTAGTGTGTGAGGGAGAGTTGGTTTAGGAGTCAGCATATAAACCATATTTACAGCATGGAATTGGACGAGATCACCTGAGGAGTATCAGATAGAGAAGAGGTCCAATGTGAAAGATGTCTAATGTAAAAGATGAGGAAGTGGGAAAGCTCCAGCAAACGTGTCTTCATACTTAAGTTGGCCAAGCCAGAGGACTGGCAGCCATCCCTCTCCCCATCATCGTGACCTAATCCAGTCCATGCCCACGTCCTGCCAATTCTACCCCCAAAACTCACCTGGAACTCCTCTGCGTCTTCACCTCCATCATCTGGTTCAGGCCTCCATCCTCTCTCACTTTGACCACTGCTGCATTCTCCCAGCTGACCTCCCCGCCCCGTCTAGTGCGCCCTTCCCACAGCAGCCAGTGATGTTTTAAAAATGCAAATCATATCATGTCTGTCTTCTGCTTAAAATCTTTTAACTTCCCAATTCACTTACTATTAATGCAAAATTCTTGACATAGTTGACGACCCTGTGTGATCCTTCTCTTGCTAACCTCACTCCCTGAGACCCTCCCCCAGTACCTTCCACTTCAGCCTTCACCAGCTGTGGCAATATCTCTGTTCCTCAAAAAGACCATGTGAAGCACTTAGCACAGGGCTTGGCACATAGTAGGCACTCAACAACTGTAAGCTACCATTATTATTCTACCTCTGGGCTTCCACAGATGCTGTTCCCTGTTTGGGATGCTCTTCCCTTTACTCTTCAGACTAACTCCTCCCCACCCCACCCCCAAGTCTGTATTAGTCTTCTATTGCTGCATGACAGATTACTACAAACTAAGTGGCTTAACACAACACAGATTTATTGTCTCACAGTTCCCAGGGATCAGGAGTCTGGCACATGTTACCTGGGTCCTCCACTCAGGGTCCCACAAGGCTGAAATCAAGGCAGGCTGCACCCTCATCTGAAGGCTCAACTGGGGAAAGACCCACTTCCAAAATGCCTTAGGTTGTTGGTAGAATAGACTTCTTGCAGTTGTAGGACTGAAGTCCCCCTTATCTTGCCAGCTGTCAGCCAAGGGCCATTCTTAGCTACTAGGGGCTTCTCTCAGGTCCTTGCTGTGGCTTCCTCCCTAGGCTCTGTCACAGCCTGGCAGTTAACCCCTTCAATGCCAGCAGCAGACTCTCTCTCAGGCTTCATACCTCGTCCTTCAGTAAGGGCCCTTTGAACTGGCCTGCCCAGAACAATCTCCCTTTTGATTAACTGAAAGTCAGCTGATCGCAGACCTTAATTATATCTGCAGAATCCCTTCACCTTTGTCATATAACCTAATCACAGGAGTGAAATCCATCCATAGTCCCACCCACACTCAAAGGGAGGGGAAGATACAGGAGGGCATGCACACCAGGGCTGGGAATCTTGGGGACCATCTTAGAATTCTGCCTGCTTGGAGGTCTTGGCCCAAAAATCACTTCCTCCAAGAACATTTCCCTGACCCTAAATCTAAAATAGGTCCCGTGTTATATTCCTTCACATTACCCTGTAGGTTTCTTTCATGGCATTTACCACAGGTTGCAATTGTATCCTTATTTTTGTTATTATTTGTCTGTTTGATGCACTTATTTATTTGTTTGATTCTCTCCCCCTCGCCCTGTAAGCTCCATGAGAGCAGGAATTTTGTTTCATTCATCACTGTGTCCCCTGAGCCCAGCACAGGGGTTGACAATAGTAAATCATTGAATGAATGAATGAATGATGAACCGATGAGAAAATCAAGACAGGGATTAACCTACTCGCACAACAAAGAGAAGAGAAGGGATGCAGCATTGACTGAGCCAGGTCCTCTGGGGAGTGCTCCACACTTTTTAACCTCATTTCATCCTCACAACTATCCCAGGACTGTCCCTATTAGTAGCCTCATTTTACAGGGAGAGGATACAAGGTTCAGAAAGGCTAACCTTCTTGCCCAAAGTCACACAGCAGGTAACTGAAAGACCTAGGATTCAAATCCAGGATGGTTCTCTGTGTAAATACTGGGAACTTTCTTTGGATTCAAGACTCAGTTCAAGAATTGGGTCTGCCACCCCTTACTGACCATGTGAACTGGCTCAAGTCACTTCAGCTCTGAGTCTCAGCTTCTTTGTGAAATGGAGGTGGCAGTACCTCCTAAAGAGTGGTCGGCAGAAGTAAGACAATGTGTATAAAGTTCCCCAAACACAGCAGATGGTCAGTAAATGGAGCCAGTAATTCCCACAGACCAAAGGGCCAGCCCCTGCTGAAATGAAAGTCCCGTTTGCTTGGATGAGGGGGGTCGGGAGTTCAAGGGGAGGGGCCCCAGAGAGAGGAAACTATGAATGTGAGGTTCTCAAGTGGACCTGCTTGATGTGACCCTACAGATGAAATTTGGATCTGCAGAGACTTACATGGGAGCCAGACAGGAGCAGGGGACCATTTGCTGAACAGAACCATCCATCAGCTGGCCTCCTTCTCCACTGCCCAGGGAATTCTTAGGCAGGCGGAGGCAGGTCCTTGAAAGCTTAGGGAGTCCCTGGCAGAAAAGGCAAGAGCTCTGAGTCCTGGGCTCCAGAGGCCTGGGCCTCCGCTGCCCTCTGCCTCCTGTTGTTGCCCTCTGCCTATACTTTTCCAGGACGATGTTACACAGAAGACACTCACTGGGAAAGGGGTGGGGCTGGAAGAGAGCTGAAAAGCCAGACCATCGTTAGGATTCAGGGCTGCAAACCTCCCCTCCATCACAGTGTCCTAAGTTTCCACTATGGATTCACTGCTTGTATCTCCATATCACCCTCCTCTATTCCTCTTTTTAAAAGGAACTCCACCGGGGCTGGCCCGGTGGCATAGCAGTTAAATTTGCACACTCCACTTTGGTGGCCCAGGGTTCACAGGTTCAGATCCCAGGCACACACCTACACACCACCCATCAAGCCATGCTGTGGTGGTGTCCCACATACAAAATAGAGGAAGATTGGCACAGATGTTAGCTCAGGGCCAATCTTCCTCACCAAAAAGAAAGAAAGAAAGAAAAAGAAGAGAACTTCACCACTGCCTTTAGCCCACAGAGTCAGTGTTAGTAAAACATTCATCAGATCATCCTCCTCTGTGACCTGGAAGAACCCAGAGCCCTGGGTTGAGGTTAAGTCAGAGAAATGGAGTTGAACTGGGGGAGGGATGTGCTCTAACCATCATGCTGCCCTGCCAGTTGACGGTCGCCCTTGACGTGGGATGCTTGTGGGATGGCAGAGCTGGAAGAAACTTCAGGATTCATCCACTCCACAACTCCCTTACCTTACCCATGAGAAAACTGAGAGCCCAGAGAGGGAGAAGGCTTGCCCAAAGTTACACAGCTGGTTAAGAAGCCAACTAGAACCCAAGTCTCTGTCTGTCTTTACTGACTTTGCTGCTCCATTTGTTTTCCTCTCTGAGAAGTAGAAGAGGCTAAAGTTACATGGGGGCAGGAGAGTGAAGCCGTTTCCCTCAGGGCCCCTGGTTCTTCATCTGTTAAATGGGAATAATTATGCTTCTCTACCAACACACCCACCTGTTCGTGAAGCTCTGGTGAGTAAATACAGGGGAAATGACTGTAGTGGCAGAAACGTCTACCTGGTGGCAACAGGACCCCAGATTGGAGGAGACTGCCTGGGATCCGAGGTTGGGCAGGGAAGATGGACTTAGAAGATGTTGGTTCACCTTGTCATCCTCCCCAGGTGGGGCCCAGGCCTGGGTTGCCATGGATACCGTGTCCCTGGAGCATCAGATCCAGAGCGTGCAACGCCACATCAGCTTCCTGAAAAAAGAGCAGATGGCCCTGCTGCGAGACCTGCACCTGGAAATCCTGAGGCTGCAGAAACGCTGCTCAGGTGAGGCCAGGAGGGATGGCTGGGGCGGGGGGGGGGGGGGGGGGGGG